CAACCTTTGTGTAATATGGTTTATTTTTAATAAATTAAAGCATTTATTTGCCTTTCCATTATTTATTTGGTTATGGCTTTGGCTTTGGCATTAACTCACCAATACTAAGGAACATCCAACCTCCACCATGAAAGAACACCACACATGTCTGTTTTTTACCATCAACTATATTTTGTTTGGATCTATATAGACGAACCGGAACATCGGCAATCTTCAAGTCCTTGATTTGAAGTGAGGGATCTTCTGGTACATTCTGAAGGTGACTTAAGAAACTTTGGATCTGACGAATATTGTTTATAACACTTCCAATGCCAAGCAACGATGCAAGGTACGCCTTAAAAATAGATTGAAGATTATCATTTTTCTCCTATAATTCTAGGGCTCAAATAATCAGATATAATTCCCTAGACATACCTTCATTTTGATAACTTCCTTCCTTTTGGTAGGTGTGAATGATAAGTGATTAAATTTGTTTTCCAAACAAATTTAAAAACAACATCTCTGCAACAGCACTAGACTGCAAAACAGTCCGTATTTTTGTGTATTCAATTGTGCACGGGCAGTCAAACAAAAGGTCTGGAACGAGGCTGAAAACAGAGAGCGCGAGACTGGGAGAGACACTTTTCTCTCGCCTCACACGCCCCTATGGGTGTGTGAGGCTTGCTTGCGCCAGCGAGCGTAAGACTCTTACGCTACACTTTACCGATTTCTTTACTGATTTTGAGAAAAAAACTGACTGTTTTGCAGTCTACAACAGCACCACAATCCAAGGGAGGGGGTACTCCAAAGTATGTGTGGACCAAAAGGTTCTGAAATTGGGCATAGCTAATTATAACAATAAAAATACAAATAGCTAAGATAAGTTTTATGGTCTCTGGAACCAGGTCCGTAAAATTAGGTACGTGTTTTAGGATTTGCCTCCTGAGAACAGCGGTTCAGGCCTGAAATAGGGAAGGGAAAATAACATAGTATTTTCTGACTCTGAGGTATAAGTTTAAATGTCAAGGATGCAGAACGCGCATTGCAAAGTTGCAAACCCAGCACCAGCATGTCCAAAATAAGGCATCATTGGTATGCAAGTTGGTCAGTATATTAATAAAATAGTTGTAAAATCGCAAGCGAGATAGCAACTTCAGAGAAAAAAGTTAGGTTATATATATTTTATTATTACTTTTGCTGCTTTTGAAATGAACGAAGACATAACAACTTACCACCATTCCCGTGAGCTTTGTGATCACCCCCACTGTTCGAAGTTTATGGTGCTGATCGACAGGCAGTCCTTCTGGAACAAGTTGATTGAAATACATACGCAAGATTGCAGTGACAAGGACGGCAAGAAAAGCAGTGAAAACAACGAAAAAGGTAACCATTTCGGCATCGCAGTTCTCTAAAAAAAGCCAACACCGCAATGGTCTGGGTCAAGTGTACAATAACGACCATATCATATATGCCACAACATACTGTCCGTTTACAGGTCTTCATGTTTACACGGGATTTGTACAGGTGCTTTAATATTTCAAATGCAAGTTTCTTTTTGTATGTTCCTCTTTAAGATGGAGGAATTTTGGTTTAAAGAGCAGGACTGAATATAAAATTACTAGTAAATTAAGGGAAATAATTTTATGCGGCTTTGTAAGTAAGCATCCTAAATAATTTGTGTACCATACATGATAGCAAAGTCAATGATAGCGTGACCACCCGTTCAGAGTCGAAGATCTAAAACATGGCAGATGATATCAATTGCTGCGTCTTTTTCAGTGTTACTGCCGCCGCTTTCGCCACTATGATCGTTGGTTTGTACTGGTATCAAGATTTACCAGAAGGACTCCCCGATGATCAGCAATTTAGTGCCCGTTTTATTGGTGCATATTTGGATTTTTGCCGTTTTCTGGTGGGTTTCAGTTAAAAACTTATGCAACATGATCTATTACAAACCCCACTTTGTGCCTCGGCTTAAACTTAGTGTTGTGGCAAAACACATAGAAAATAGAAATTTGCACTATCCTGTGATTTTTCTCTCTTTTCCCAGGAGTCAAAGAGTTAAACTACATATGTCACAGATGTTCGGAAGGGCGGTTGGCAGTGCAGCTTTCAAAAGCTGATAAGGAAGCGGGGGGGTAGCCTGGGAGAATAGGGGAGGGAGGGGTACGGGAGGGGAAAAGAACTGGAGATGGGAGTTCTAAACGGGAGAAAGAAAGATAATGGGGAAATTAAACAACAGTGCTTGATATTTCGCGATAGAAAAAGGGAGGGAGCCAAGCAAAAGGGACGAGAGCTAGAATCAATGTAAGGTTCAAGGGAAGGAAGGTAAATTTAATGTCGCCTCTCCTTGATAACACACGGCGGAAATGTCCAAAAATAAAACCAGCAAAGGTACTGATCGAGAATTCCATAAGGATCTCTCCTGCAAAAAAGGAGGTCTGTGGGACCTGGAAGTAACGTTAATTCCACGTCCGTGTTATGCCCCGATGTCGACAACCTCAGAACCAACGCACTCTTATTTTCACATAAGCAGATGCTATTGCCTTGCATTATCAGATAGGAAGTACACTTTTATAGGGCATTGAACTAAAAAGAAAGACATTCACTGAACTACGGAAAACAGACCTATAGATCGTTTTCACTGTCACGCAACAAAAAATTAAATTGGAAACCGTCCAGAGGAAGAAGCCAAGAAAATGAAATGTTGTAAAAGACTAATATATAAACAATTTGTCCAAGTCTCAGGTCTTTGTGGCTCATAGTTTCTGAGTTACTTGCCGAAACGTTTCACGCACCTTTGTAGTGCTTTGTATGGAGACGCCATATTGGTGCACCGTTTTGGTGCACCAATATGGCCGCCGGAAATCAACAAAAACATCTGGAGTTCACTTTTTCTATAAAAGCTCTTTCTTTTCACTCGAGAACTAGCATACGTACATATAAACATATCTTCTAATACTTGAAGTGATTGTACTGCTGAAAATCAAGAGAAGAGACTTTTTTTCAACGAGACAGCATTGCTCTTTTGGTGTCACGCACTGTGAAAACTCGGAAGTTCAAATTGCTTTATTTTCGAAACGAAACATGCTACGGAAACGGAAACCTGCACAAAGATTTACTTTTTGTTTATCTTCAACCTAGTGTAAATAAGAATTCGTAAAACCTCACTATTTTGACTTTACAATTTGATGACGTCACATTGAAAACCATCTATACACGCTTTTAATAAGTCTGGGCGCCATCTTGAATTTTTAATTTATGACGTCATTCGCGGAAAGACTTCAGCCGCCATCTTTGAGTTTTGACTCGAGTGACAGTATCATGTCAGGACAAGAGGCAAAGTCAGGCCATTATGAATCGCGTTATTCCATTCTTTTCCTGTATAAACATTAACAAATACTAGCAAATCCTTTTCCTAGGCTAAAGTAATCGCAGTGGTGCGGTTCGTCTTTGTAAGTCATACGGCGATATCATCATGTTTGTTCGATAACAAACGCAACACTGAGAAATGTGACATAAGATTCCAAGCGATCAGCATGTATTAAAAGGTAGCACGGCTGCAGCGATGATGACATCGGAAGTATTGTATTGTATTGTCTTTTAATAGTGGTCGGTAGCTTTTGAAAACGTCCAGCCTCCCCTCGATCGGTGTTTAAATGCCCTGTACACAAGCCATACCTTATCCCTAAGATCCAAAATAAGATAAAGTTGAACAGAAATCTGTTTCGAGGGAAACCAAATATGGTAAACACCACAGGAGTGAGGTGTGTTGAGCCAAATGATGCTGAGCGACACAACTTACACGAATCCGACGCTGAAATTTCTGAACTAGAATCTGAAATTTTAGCACTTAAGGTAGAAGTTGAAAAATTGCTTAATATTAAGTGAAATGTAACCAGCAGCACCACATTAATCCTGCCCAACCCAACTGACCCTGAAAAAGGTGGACCCTTTTGAGCTCAGGTTTACCATTAACTATGTGACAATAAAACCTTGGATCAGAACATGCCTTCTCAGGTGTGAAGTTTCATAATGTAAAAGGGCATTTGATTTCTAATAAACCATAACTTGATATCCCTATTATCTATCACCCTTCTGTTTGGTTAAGCCGCCAACCATGACATTTTGCTTGATATGACAACCTCACACTCTAAGCCCTGAATATGAATATATATGTATATATTATAAATATAAATGCTAAACCAATATTTTTCTTGTACTCAGCATATTTAGTTGCTGCTTAATACCAATTTGCCATTCACTATTATTAGAAACATCATTCTGTGACACGAGAGTATTTTGAACTAACCTCGTTTGCAGTGAGAGATGTTGAGTTTCCATTTGCAAACAAGTGCAAATTACAGCTAGTTGACTTGAACCTTTTCCTTTGAAACCAAAACATATCTTTGCTCTGACCTTTTGATTCTCAATTAAGGATGGATTAGGAATTTTTAAACAACTTATAAATTGGTCCTCCTGAAAAAAGGGGCATTTGCAATCCCACTGAAGCTGGTGTGTCAGTGTCAATTGGGAATTCAGGAAAGGAGCCACCAACAGCTCTAGGTCTTGGCAAACTGGAATGGTTGTCATAACACTGAAGTTTGCCTCCATTAGAGAGAATGTGGAACCTTGTGTCCAGTTAATTTAGTTGAAACTTTTGCAGGACAGTTAATTGTCTTAAGTGAATGAAAGAACTAATTTGCCCTCTCTATATTTTGGACAGTACGTTGCCTGGCTGCATACAAGGGACACCTTAAACCCCCCATTTCTCCCTGTAACAAGGATTGATGACATTATATGCCTTGTATGCATTATATGAATTGGGGTTCATACCCTAGGTCCTTGGTTTGTGCTACTGTTTTGAGTTGTGCACACTCCAGTTCTTGGGAATTCATTGAATTCAAACACTTATATAATAAAAAAGATGTGATTACAGTAACCATTTCCCCTGCTGTACAAGAGTATTTATCACAACTGTTAACATTGTGAGGCCTTTCATTCTTCCTCAGTGATTTAAAGCATTCCCCTCTACATGAATTTATTGTCCATATAAGCCTACAATAATCTTCGTGACAGTAATTTTCAAATAAAAATTTGTATCCCTTTTCGATGGTGCTTTTTGATTTTTTTCGTTGCTTTTTCAACAATGTAAATGTAAGCAAAGTGCTTTGGAAGAATTGATGCATCCCTGCTCCAGCTCTCTTTAGTGGCTACATCTCCAACCAGGATTCGAGCTAATAGCTTTCTGGATTTCTGAGCTACGCCTCCCCAGAGTAAAAAATTATTCGGTGGAAGGGTCGACTGGAGTATAAACGTTTTTATCCAACTTCTTTTTTTCCTTAAAACCTACACATAATAACATAAAAAACTGATGATGAAAAGCATAAACTTTTATCAAAATAGAATTATCGTACATTTTGAAAGGATCAGAATAGCAACATGAAAAATCCTTTCAATTAGCTTTTATAAATACCTGATAGATAATCTAAGTCTCCTACGAGCGGTAATAATTAATCGTTTTCAGCGTTTTTAAGAAAGGCCTGCATAAAAAATGAAAAAGTATCAAAACCATTGCTAAAAAAGATTACCTGGGAAGAAGTTAAGCTCGTGTCTGTTGTAGTGAGCCAAGACGATTAAGCCAAAACTTTAATTGGCATTTTTTTTTTTTTGGCATTTAGGGAAAGTTCATTTAATATGACAAGGTGGGGGATGAAGATATTGAGGGGGCTCCGAAAATTTTTAGACACCCGAAGGGGGGGGCTCTTAAAAATTGTTGCGCTAGGAGGGGGGGCTCGAAAATTTGTATACTTCAAAACCAACACATGACATCATCATACAGATCAGATGGTTTTCAACTCAACAATTTAATGACCTGTGCAACTCAGCTATATCACGTGGTTTACAGATATAACGAATGTAGTCTCAGTAATTATTACACTCTTGTTCATCCCAAAAATGCTTTAGAAAATTGTATCACAACTGTATCTCAAGTTTGTCATAGTATAAACCATTGAAGGCAATAACGGTAAATATGTTTAATACAGTCTAGCGATCTTTTTCAGGGGAGCAAAGGAATTGAAGGAGGAGGGGGGCTCTGAAATTTTTTCGACTACCAAGGAGGGGCTCTAAAAAATTGAACCGCTAGCGAGGGGGCTGCTAAAATTTCAAGCTTCGAGTTTCAATATCTTCATCCCCCCCTTTGTCATATTAAATGAACTTTCCCTTAAATCAGCTCTCGTTTGTCCTCGATGTCATCGATCCAGGAATATCTTTGCACGAAAGCTTTAAAGTTACGATAACATACCCATAAAGACATTGTAGAAAGAAAATATTCCTCTTGATATAAAGTAAAAACATTCCTTTTTATATGAACACACTGCAAAATCAACGTCAACAGAGATTTCATCTTTGGTAGCCATTTTGGCCACGTGCACGATCTTTCCGCGAATGACGTCATTCAAGATGGCGCCCAGACTTATTAAGCAAAGTACCAAGCTTTTTGAAAAAAATCCACTTTTCAGCATAAAACAACCAAATCTGTCTATTTCATGTAAAATCAGGTGAAAAAGTTGGTAAAAGGCCATTTTTAGGTTTTTTGATTAAAAGCGTGTATAAGTAAACACAAGATTAATGGTTTATCGCAGACTTATGGTCTGGAATGGCATGCACCTCGTCAGTTGATAGGCGCGAACTCAAAGGTGTATTAACATGTTTTTTTTAATACACTTCACTACCAAGTTAAGGAAAAGACCAAATCGTCAGTAAATAAGGAGCTTAAGGAACAACGAGGACGACAGGAACGAGAACGGCAAAAAGAAATAAGTTTGGATCAGCACTGAAAACAACAACTTTGGTGGTGCGTCATGTTGTATTCTACATTTCTCTGCAGTCGTTGCACGACCATGACGTGAAACTTCCAGTGGAAGACGTGCACACTAGCAATGTTTTTCTTATTCTTTTTTACATTCAGATAAAGTCCTTTGGAATTGAACACCAGAAAAATTCACCAACATTTGACAAGTTGAACGACATGGCCGATAAGAGGGATGAATTTGGGAACACCATGGATTCAATTTTTAGAGACGTTTTCGCCCCGTTCGTCGTCGTCGTTGTTTAAGCTCCCTAATGTTTTCGTTGTGAACATTCCTCTGAAAAAAGCTTTTGAAGTAACGCGTGTTGAACAAAGCGTCACTTGAAACCGTTGTCACGTACCTGCAGAAATAGGAGAGAGTCACAACTCACCAGTTACGTAGGTGCACGAGTCGGTCACTAGAGGTTACGCCACCAAGTGCTTAACAAAACAGTAGATGAATGACCCAAAATGTCTGTAGCCCCTATAAACACTAGGTGATGTGTTTTCAGAGGTCAAAGAAAATACAGATTTCAGAGCTTTTTGGCTCCAAGAGAAGAACAAGGGTTCACAGTAATTTTCAAGGAGTTATAATAACTCCTCTAGTGGGGTTAATTTAACTCCTTACAGTGGAGTTATTTTTTTCGGAGTTATTTTACCTCCAAAAAGGAGTTTAAAGAACTCGTTTTCAGGAGTAAAAATCACCCCAGATTTGGAATTAATATTGAGGAGATAAAGTAACCCCCAAAAAGGGGTTATCCTGAACGTAAATTTTTTACTCCATTTTTGGAGTTATAATAACTACGAAGAGATGCGGTGGTGGTGGTGGTGGTAAAGGGAGGGGGGTTTTTGTGGAGACAGGCACTTCTTTCTAGATCTCCTTGGTCCCTAAAAATTACTGTGTATTTGGCAGGGACGAGGAGATGCGGGGTTGGAGGTGGTGGTAAGGGGAGGGGGATTTTTGTGGAGACAGGCACTTCTTTCTACATCTTCTTTAGCACTTTCTACCATCCCCCAATCTTCGTCTGCTTTAAAAATCACGGATGGCGTTTATACGCGGGAAATGATGAACCAGTTCGTGTGCTCAAAAATACGCGGCTTGCATGCAGTAACCTCGCGGGTCCCCAGAGCGCTTTTTTGGGTATCAGGCTGCACTTGCATCTTGCACTGCAGTCCAAAACTCAAAAAAACGAGTTGGCAATGCTTTGAGTCGCTGCAAATTCTCCAAGGTCACAGAAGTGGTCGCTGTTCCTTACGATTACGAACACTAATGAGAACTAAGTTTTTATTACAAGTCACAGCTCAAACAGGATTTCACTGTACTGGTCGGAACTAGAACTAGTCGCTTACGAGAGTGGTCACAAGGAGAGCTTCGACTGTATTTCTGACGATTGTCCTATCTGAGATGCGTTAAGCCAGTGCTCCTTTTAATTAATATTTAGTCCAACGTCAATCATCTAACCTAAGATCAGGCTGTTCTTCTTCCTTTTTTCTTCAGGAGGAGAGGGAGAAAGTTCCTTTTTCCTCTTTTCCCGTCCGCCAACGCTCGCCCCCTCCCCCAGAGCGGGAGAGCACGCGCGGCGGAAAAGGCGCCTTTCCCCGCCGCGCACGGCTCCTGCTCCACGTCCGCTTCGTACTCGCCTCTAAAACGCGAAAAAATAACGTCTGTTCTGCAGGCTAACATTTACCGTACTTTAGAGTTTATCAAATCTCCTCACTAACATACCCTTCCATCACTGTATTGTCTGTTCATATCAAGTGCTAGCAAAAAGTCGTGGTTGTAAATTTCTTTGTTTGTAGGGTCGTGCAGCTTCATCAAAAAGCATTGGTGATTCAGCCATTGAAAATACGAATTATTTGTTGCATGTAGCGAAACGAATTTTCGCGGCAGATGAGGGACCAGATTTAGAAGTCCAAGACACCAAAATTGCCAATATTCCTGTACGTGTTTATAAACCAAAATATCACGCTGCCAAATCAACAGGCGTTCTTTATATTCATGGTGGAGGATGGACCCTTGGTTCAGTTGGTAAGTAGTCTCAATTACGACGGCCTTACCTTTAAGGTTAAAGCGATTGTAGTTTCCCAGAATCCCTTCCCTCCTGTTCTTTCCCCAGTGGGTAAAGGCAGGCACATGGCCGAAATCTCTGTGTCTTCACGACACTCAAACAAAAGAAATTTGCAAGAGTTAAGCAAAGTTAATAATTCATAGACCTTCATAGCTAACTTATTACTTTCACTGTTCAAAGTTCAATATGTTTGAGACTAGGAGTCATTTTATAAGTAGGTGGAATATGATCGTCCTTGTGAACGAAGTTTTTGTTGCTTCAAGGGGGCGCTAATTCGAAGTAAGGCGCTTTTTTAAAGAAGGGCGCAAATTCGAGCATTTACGGTAACTGCTTTATCTTTCTCTTCATTTTCAGCTCTGTTCCATCCGTTAACATATCAATTGGTTCAAGAAGCTAATACTGTACTGATATCTGTCGAGTAAGTGATGAAAAAGTGCATATAATCCGACTCTTAGCTTCCATCCAATAATACATGGTTAACTTTGACCTGTTACCATTCTCCCGGGCAACCCCTGTGACAAGTCCAGCCCTTCTGGCCCGGGGATGAGGAATTGTTTGAGGCGGTCCTGTCCCGGGGGTAGGGAGGGGGGGGGGGGTGCAAATAAAAAATACCTTCTCTTTGAGATTGCGAAGTACGTGTCATTTCTCGCGCGGTTTTCACGATGGCTGCGGACCTCGAGACCACGTATTTTTAAGGAAAAAAGCAGGAATTTGTCGGAGAGTGGTTGGAGAAGAATACCGTAACATTCCGAAAATAAGCCCCTCCAAATATAAGTCCCCCAAACCGCTAACACAGAAAACCCTCCGTTAAATCACCCCTCCAAATATAAGCCCCCGGGGGCTTGTACTTGGAAAATTGCCCTAAAAAATACAAAGTAAAACAAAGCAAAAACGGTAAATTTACTTCCAACTGTAAGGCTAGCCCAATGGATTTCGAAACGCAAATTTCCCTCCGTAGATAAGCCCCTCCAAAAATAAGCCCCTCAAAAAGGGCCTTTGAAAAATATAAGCCCCGGGGCTTATTTTCGGAATTTTGCGGTAACATATCAAAATTGAAGTCTGTGTTTAAAGGTGTGTTTTAAAATTTGAAACGAATGTGTGTATGATGCGTACTCGAATGCATTTAATTTTTTGGAAAAGAAGGACAGAAATAGCTAGAAATGTTTCTTCAGCCTAGCTTTAATGATAAGAAAACTAATATATGAAAACGGATACAAAGCTTTTGATATATATAGAGAAACAGAGATTCAGTCCAGTGTTCTTATAAACTGTTCTGCCAAGGAGGCGCTTTTTAAAGAGTTTTCCTTCTTCGTTTTCGTTTTCAACGTTATTGCTGACGTTTTAACTACATTATGACATCCATTGTCCTTCTCTCAATAAACTTTGGAAAACGTTTATAAAAGTTGTGAAAACGTCTCGTTTTGCTTTTGTACGGATCAAAAAGATGTACCCAAAAAAACGTATATGCGGTCGATCAGCAGCTCGTGGTGGGGAATGGTCTATTTCTGCGTGCTCGGGGGGTGGGGAATGGACCTCCAAGAAAGACTGAGAAATTACAAATCCCCGGGGGTATGCCCGAGGGGCATGGTTACAAGTCAAATTGAACCATGCGTAACTTATCAATTGGCTAAAGGAGCAAACACTGTGAGTACTGATATCTGTGGAGTAAGTTAAGTCAAAGAGGTGCGTGTTATCTCTAGTAAATAAGTAGTAGCACATCGATTAGATACAGTTTCCCTGAAATTTTTTCAGATAGCTAAAGAAGCTGCTTTGGAACCAATATCTACTGACTGATTTGTATTTAGAATGCTGTTGTTGCATTGATAACTATCGGGGATAACACGTTAGTAGTCTTCACTTCCCTGTAAATAACATATTAACCTTAATGATGAATGTCATTCAGGTACAGGTTAACACCTAAGCATACCTTCCCAACACAGTTCCATGACTGTTATGCTGTTGTTAAGACCGTGCTGACCACTGCTGATAAATATGGTATAGACTCCAATCGCGTTGTTGTCGCTGGCGACGGTGCGGGTGGTAACCTAGCAACCGCAATTGCTCTGAAACTGAGAGATGAAAATTTAAGACTGGCTGCTCAGGTGAGGAAAAAAGGTCCCCCACCTTGTTCCCAAGGTTCTCTCACACCTGTTCCCAGCCCCTCTCTCTCAGATTTTGACACGAAGAAAGAATGTAAGAGACCACAAGTGAAGGTATAGCCGGCACAAGGGCGGAGCACGAGCGAGCTATAGAGCGCTAGCAGGTGCGACTGGAGATGTAGTATTTTTGCATTTCGTTTGAAATTCCGATTTAAGTCGGATTTACTTGTTATGTTTATTTTTAAACGTGGTGCGGGAGGCGGCTATTCTTGGCTATTTAGAAATAAACTTAGTGATTTTTGAGAACTTCTTAAAAGGCGAATAAAGAAATCTTCCCTACCAATTAACAAATACCTTCATTTGACGTAAAACAAAATAAAACATACCACTGAAGAGGGTTCCGAGAAAGACGAGAAGAGGAAGAATGATAGATGAGGCCACCCCTAGATAACGGCAACAAACCTCCTCACGAAGGTGATCTGTATTTTGTCAAAGTGGAATGTCAAGTCCCGCCTTTCCTGTCTGGCGCCCCTAGTAGCAAGATTGGCCTTCTTTCTCGCGCGTTCCCTTTCGAAGAGTTTTCGAAAAATGTGGGGCTGTTCGTAGTTAGCCTGAGAAAATAGCCTACATTTCCGGCGACGGCACCACTGGTTTCCCTAGCGAAATGACGTCTGAGTAACAAGCGCAGAAATGCCATACTGATGAAGTGTTACTACCCAAATCTGGTTAGTGCTTTTGATTGGTTGAAGCAAATTTTCCAAATTGCACGACCATGCAATCAAAAGTACTACCGAGATCTGCGTAGCTATATGTCATCAGTACGGAATTTCGTCATTTCGTGGGGAAACCAGTGGTAGCTTCGCGAAACGTCGACTGACCAGCTCGTATTCTATTGTAGAATCTTGTGTTGAAATGAACATGTGATATACCGTATTTGATTCTCTCTCTTTTTATCCTATCTAGATCCTGCTATACCCTGCTGTACAGTTCGTAGACTTGTCTCTTCCTTCTTTTAAAACTAAGGACTCTCCAGTTCTTACACAGCGTGAAATGGCACAATACTGGTCTTATTACATGACGGGAACTCCAAACTTAGCTTCCTCGTTGTTGGCAAATAATCATTCTGTGCACCTCCGCAACACTAAGTACTCTTCTTATGTTGGTGTCAAAGACAAGGAACAGCAAAAAGCTCCAAAAACGCCACCGGAAAATATTCCAAAAGCTGTCATCGATGGATTGATTGATTACCGGGCTTCACCTTTAATGGCAGATAGCTTGAAGGGATTACCAAAGACCCTACTGATAACTTGTGAATATGATGTCCTGAAAGATGATGGTCTTTTATACAAGGCGCGTTTACTTGGTGATGGGGTCAAAGTTACTCATCTTAATTACATGACATACCATGGTTTTGTGGTTTTTCAGACAGTTCCCATTTTCACAACAGAAGAGTATCGCCAGGGGTTGCGAGATATTACTGATTACCTCAAGGAGTTGTAGAATTTAGTCTTAAAGGATTGTCCTTATCACGTTGTCTCGATAAACAAATCTTGATCGTAGATATTCTGGAGTCATCCCATGTAAGGTCTTAAACATCATATAGTAGATTTCTTCTCCATTCTTTGACGACAGAGTTTATGCCACCCTAATGCCTGGAACACATCATCCATGAAACACATCATCCAACTGCCCGATTTTGCCGAAGGCGTTGAAGTTTTTCAGAAACGCCTTTGTTACAGCTTCCCCACAGCACTACTTTACAAGAATCAAAGTGAGGCTGAACGTTAAATGGGATAAGATGCCGCATTTGTTTAATTGCGTCGATGGCAAAAGCAATCTTTTTACAAACATTGTCAATATGGCACTCTTAATTTAAGGTTTGATCCATGAGGACTTTCTGGCAATTTCGATAATTTTTGCCTTGATGCAATAAGCATAAACACAGTTTTTGTTTAATTCAGCGTATTCTTGATAGCTGATAACCACGTGTACAACGTTACTTAAGTCATAATTATATTGACTTGAGCAATCATTTATATGCGCAACGTCTGCACTGGCAAACGTAATGCTGGTATCATCAGCGTATATCCTTTTTGTTTGTGGATACATTAGCCAATTTGGTAAGTCGTAACAGTGCTTTCCAAAAACACGCGACGAACTCTGAAGTTCAAAAGCTAGCCTGCGAAAACATCCGTTTCTCCTGGCTCTTCGTCGATGGGGACGTTTCGCGCGGAGGAACGTCTGCGACTCAGCGACAGAAATTCCATACTGATGACGTAAAATCTGTCCGGAATCCGGTCAGAAGCGCTGATTGGTCAGACAGAGTAGTTACATTGTTTTAGCTATTGTTTACAAATGACAGACAAAAGACAAAAGGCCACAAAGGTCAAATGTAAACGCGAAGAATCCCTAACAAAGTAGTCAATATTTGTGGAATATAGTCCTCTCTAGAAGAAGCATTTGAGTTTTGCTGGAGCTCCTTGGCAGATGAGCACAACACTTTACCAAAATCGACTAGAAGACACGTAAAAGTTGACAAATTTGTATTTGGAACCCCATGACTACTGGATTTATTATGTAAACATTGGTTTGCGTCATCAGTATGGAATTTCTGCCGCTGAGTCGCAGACGTTCCTCCTCGCGAAACGTCCCCGGCGGCGAAGAGCGAGGAGAAACGGATGTTTTCGCAGGCTATTCAAAAGCTGCCTTCACAAATGCGTTTTTCGCTGCCGTCAATCATAATTACGATCACAAGCAACAAACTTTGAAACAACGGATCCGCAAAATCCGCCAATCACAAATCACAAACCGTGACCTTTTGAATGCATTGAAGTAAACTTCTGTTTCCGAAGAGGTCCTCTAAGATGATTGACCCCAGCGAAAAACGCAAATGTCAGTTGGCATTTGAAGTTCAGAACTCGCGTGTTTTTAAAAAGCGCAGTAATATATAACAAAAACAAAAGAGGTCCCAAAATTGTTCCCTGAACACCGTATCTAAAAAATTTCGGGGTTGACTTACATCAGTTAATGTGACAAGTTTGAGTTCGCTTATCTGGGTAAGAAGTAAACCATTTATAACTGGACCGACAAATTCCATAGTATTGTTATTTCCTTAGTACTGTATTTTTGTGTAGCGGGTTTAAGTAAGAAAGTATTTACGCTGGAGTAAATTTCGTAGGAAAAATGTCCGCAGTAATTTTTATTTGCGGGAACTTATTTTTGCTGATCGCTGGAAAATATCGCAAAATAGAACAACCCGAAAAAATTTTGTGCCACACGGTGGAGTACAAGTCATTACTGAGAGACAATGAGAGGGCGGCTTCCCTGTGGTTTCTTGAGTTCTTTATCGTTAGCTGTTTGCACATACGAGAAACAGGTAATTTTTTGAAAACAGTGGTAAATTGCTTGCTCGGCGGGACGGGGCGACTAGGCTACAATGGCCTATCGCTTTCATCGGAGTTCTAAGCTTACCGAAATTGGAAAATGCCCGTTCAAAAGCTCTTTGATGAAAATGCATTAATTGCCGTAGTGAAACGAAGTTTTGTAATGTCATCTGTGACAGTGTTGACAAAAAAAAAGAAGAAAAAAAGACGCTTTTGAAAGTGAAGCTTATCTTCCGTGAAGCGGAGGGAGTTACGTTCGAAACGTCCAGTTGCAATCCTTCGATCTCTTTACGATAGCCAATTCACCTCTTCAAAATCCAAATCAATAGATAATACCAGGTTTTTCTACTTAAAGCTTCAAATGCATTTTGATATATAGTAAAGATCAATGTAATGTCATTTTCTCAGATAGCCACATGAAAATTTGTTTTAACTACGTGTAAAAGAGCGCGCGCGCAAAATCGATCGAAGGCGCAATTATTAAACCTGCTTTTGTGACGTTAGCTTTTCGTCCTTTGAAAAGAATGCGTTGGATTTCACTCTCGTGTTAATCCGAAGCGAAAATGAAACGGAAAACTATATTTTTATTGCATGGTTTGTGTACTCCTTCTGTTGAACAAAAGGTAAGGACGGAATTCATCTTCCTCTAAATTCCGCCTCGTTTATTTTAGTATAGGAATGCTGTTTTTGCATTTTAAAAGCGCTTGCCTTTCGGCGAGCGTGCCTTGGTGTCTAAGAGCTGACGCGAAATTTCTTAAGATTTGATACAGTGATTGCTTGCACTGCCGTCCTTGAAATAGCATCACTTTTTAGTAGTAGCAAATCTGGTACATAGCTCGATGTGCAATAATTCAACAGACGACGCTGGCAAAAAACAGCGCATTGGGTCATAAAACCTTACAGGCCTTTTAACCGGGCAATTAATGATCTCAAGATTGTGAACCAAATGCCCAACTGCATAAACCCTAGTTCTGAATTTAATCTTTTAAAACTTAAAACGGAAAAAAATAAAAATAAAATAGAAAACCATATTTATTTGTTTGTTTCACACTATCGCACTGCCAGGTTACGTGTTCATCCTTTGCGAGCCCGTTCTCTACCCCAGTGCCTACTCTTCAGGCGGTTATGGGAACCAGGGCTCTGGCTCGCGACTGAACGCCAGGTGCGGTGCGCGCGATCAAAACCGAGCATGACGTCAAAAACAGAACGTGTTTACGTTTATGACGTTAGCCTTTTATTCTTCGACAAGAATTTATTGGATTTTCCTTTCAATCTAATCCAAAGCGAAAATGAAGTTGAAAACGATATTCATATTGGCTTTTCCAGCCCTACTCATTCTACAGCAAAGTTTGTAACGGTAAGGAGTCATTCGATCTTTAAAAGTACTGGCAAATGGTAGGATGTGCATTTGTTTAGAGAGCGTCGCTGTTGGCACATAATTGCCTGCGGTCGATCAACCGGACAGGTCTTTTGACCAGGCATTTGATGATTTTCTCATAATTGTGAACCGATTCCGTAACTGCTCAAGCCCTTGAAAGATCACTAGTTTTCAATTTGATCTACTAAAATTTAAACTGGAAAATAACCAAGAAAGTAAAAAAACGAAAAGCCGTTAATTTTTGTATGTTTACACGCCACTCCGTTGCTACGTGACGTCCTCATCCTTTGAGCGCTTATTCTGGACCCCAGTGCTTACGCTTCTGGCGGTCACGTGCGGAAGAGCTCTGGGGTCGAGATTGAGCGCGAGGTACGGTGCGCGCGCCGTCAAAACCAAGCATGGCGTCAAAAATAGAATAACTATTCGTCTATGACGTTAGTTTTTCATTCTACAACAATTAATTGGATTTTGTGCATTAACAGAACTACCAGAAGTGTTTCAACGGTACATCCGTCATCTTCAGTGTTACATATTTTGAAATCGCCGCTGAATTTAAATTCGCCCGATGTTACAAAGTTCAGTTTTAGTACCGCAATATTGCCAACGCAATGTAACGACACGTTGTAATATCGCGCGCGATTTAAATTCAACGGCGCTTTTAGACTTGCCTACAAGCCGAGTTTCAATATTTCACAAGCGCAAGCGGCAGATTTTTTTTTGTTTTCTGAGGCGAAAGGGAGCGAGAGAGCGCTTTGCGATGGGGCCAACTACTGAAACTGGAAGAGACGTTCCTCGTTTGTGTGATATATAATCGGAGGTTCTTTATGAAATTGTCTTAGTCAAGGCTGGCTCTGTATCAATTGCCAATATCAAATAAGAATGTTTTTAAGACAGGAACTGATAGTTGACACTGTTTAGTGATTGCTTATGAATAGCATTATTTTAAATTCACAATAAACTTATATAAAACATTTTTTACATTTGCGTTTACAGTAAGGTCCTGTAGCACTGAGTCGACTCTTAATGACCAGTCTTGCAAACAAAAAGAAAGCCCATCATGCGCAGTTTTGTAGTTTTTGAAGCTTTAGTGCTAGTTCTGAACTCAGACACTCTCCTGTCCTTCACCATCGTCCACAATAACATATTATTTTCTGTAATTTTAATTGCAGGGGAATGTATAAGAAAGGATGCTTACGGAGAAAATATCCTGACCTTGGTTGGAATTTTAATTCAGTGACTAACCCCAGCGAGTAACTTAGCGGGGAAGAGGACCACCTGACGGGGAGGCACCGCCCGAAAGGGGTATCTTTTTCAGGCCTCATGTATATGAAATGGTACGTAGGGATTTAACTAGCTGAAGTATTGAAATTAAAGGCTAGGGAAATATAACGTTTGGGTCTGAGAAAGGGTCCAAAAGTGCTAACAGATGAATTTAATGGCTTTACAAAGTCGAGGAAACGTTCTGTTTTCTGATTGATTCCTATTTAAAAGACAGTGCATTTACAGCAGTTAATTAAAGGGATGCCAAAGTTGTAAACAAGGTATATGAAAGAGGTACCATTTGTCAATAGAAGACATACGAAAGAGGTGCCTTTATCCTGAAAAATGGTATATAAAAGGGTAAGGGGTTGGACCTCGGGCCGGAGCCCCCCCGTATAAACATTTGTTGAGTAACCCCCCCCTCCCCGGAGAAGGGGCGGACTTCAAGGGACTCTGCTAGTCATAAACCCAAACCAAAT